TTTAATTTGTTGATGCTTCCAACATCAAGAATAATGCCACAACTCTGTGCTCCTTATTTGTCAAAGTATTTGAGTGGATTGATCAAGAGAATGATGCTCAACTAGTGGATGATAATGCAACAAATTACAAACAATCCTCTAATTTATTGCGTGAGAAATATAATAATATTTATTGGTCACCTAGTTTAACTCATTGTTTGAATTTAAATTTGAAGGATATTGGTGACATGCCTTACGTGACAGAGCTTGTAAGAAGTGCATTGGGGATTATAATATTTACTTATAATCATATTTTTGTTCTATCTTTGTTAAGAAAAAGACAAGTGGACAAAAATAGTGTGTCTGGGAGCTACTTATTTTTCTATTACTTTTATTTCATTGAGGATTTTGCATGAACATTAACATGATAAATGCACTTTCTACTAGTAAGTACTATATAGTGACCTAAAATTAGTAAGAATCACTAAAGTGAAAGAAATAGTTTTTATCCTTGTCTGATTATGTTAAAATTAGCAGGATCATTAATAAGATTAGTAAGAGTTCTTGTTTCAAATGAAAAGCCATCCCTTGGATATGTTTATGATGACATTTACCAAGAAAGGAAAGCAATTAAATAGATGATAAAAAATATAAAGATATTCCATATACTAGCATTATTAAGAGAAGATGAGATGAACAATTTATGTACTTCATCAAGGTATCCACCCTCCTTCCTATTATCTTAATTCACATTTTTAATATGAAAAAGAAATTTTTTGTCGAAAGCTTGAAGTATTGCAAAGATTAATTGAGCTCATTGCTATTAAAGATGTATGCAGTAAAGACAAATTTATAAAGAATGAAATTAGACTTTATTGAGATAAATTAGAAAGTTTTGAAAAGAATTTTAATCTCACGATGTCCAAAGAAGTGCAACCTCTTAAGCTTTAACTACTAGCATTATGTGTGTGCGTCTGTGTGTATGTGTGTGTGTGTGTGTAACATGTAGATAAATGATGGAGAATGTTAGGATCTAGTACTCTAAATTTGTAGAGGTTGACTAATTGAATTCTTAAACTTTAGCATCGCCTGGATGTAAAAGAAATCGGAGTGCTTTTGAACAAATTCATACAAAGAGAAGAAATCATCTAAAACATCAAATACTAAATGATTTGGTGTATCATATATATAATCTTAATTTGAGGAATATGTTTGTTTTTTGAAATTAAAGTTTCTATGTTAATTCATATTATTATAATTTTTAGCTAATAATAATTATAATTTAAAATATCTTATTTATTTTCTAGGTTCCGAGCTAAGAAAAAAGTAGTGATCCATTGAACTACATGAGTATTAAGACAGTAGACTTTTAGGTAGTTGATGATGAACATTCTCCTGAGCTTGATTATAATGATTTGGACAATGAATCTATAGAGATGGTGTTATTCACAATTCTAACTAAATGAATAAGAAACTAATTAGTAAGATTTTAAATGAATTTAAATTGATAATAAAAATGTTAAAATGACCTTATTTGTTAAATATTATGTGCAAATGCAAATACTATACAAGAAAACAAACATGCAGCTTATGATGATGAGCTTTTTATGATGCAACAATTGGGGTCGAATGTTAAATGAAATACTTGAAGTTGAAAATGTAAATACATACAAGGAGACAAATTCATGCAGCTTATAATAATGGAGCTTTCTGTGATACAACAATTGGGGGTAAATTTTTGTTTTGAGTTTTGAAAAGACATTTTTTTAAAATTTTGGAGATAGTTGACATATAAATATTATGTCAAAATAAAATTTTGAAATGTTTATTTTATGTTCCATAATGAATATTTTTAAACCACACATGTTATATTATTATTATATTATTTGTCATATTAAAATCACCATCCACTTGAAGCCCACCGCAATGAAGTTTAGGGCAGTTTATTTGAAGCGGTGGCTTTTTGAAAATACATCTGGCATGTTTGGGTAAATTGCGCTTCGGCGGCTTATGCGTTTTCAAAATGCTGAAAACATTGTTTTCACACCGCACATGTCTATGTGCGGTGAAAGCTTTCTTGCTACGGTCCGACTTTTCTAAAAAAATAAAAATTTGTAGTAATCAACACGTCTAGCTTATCCACATATTATTATTAATCAGCTTATCAACAAATTATTTAATAAACTGCAACTGACCCCAAATAAATCCTTATTTAACGACACATATTGTCCATAAAACGATAAGAAGACTAAACGCAATTCAACATAAGACGAAATTTATGCGGATTCATGGTTGACTGAAATTCCTGATTAAGAATCCATGTTTGACCAATACTATTCCAACCAGGCGTCGAAATCTAATTTTAATTTTTTTAATTGAAAAAAAAAAAGGCCGCTTCTTTTTCTTTTTTAGATATTTTAAATATCGTGAGATCAAATTGGACAATTGATTTGATTTAGTTGTTAAATTATTAATTTATTTTTTCAGTAATAATTGTAAGTTTCATTTGGGTTATTGATTTGATTTTTTAATT